GGGGGGGGGGGGGGGGGGGGGGGGGTTAGGCCAAAAACTTCAGAATGACGAAAAAAATTTCCGAATATTTATACAGCCACGAAGGTGTTTGCTATACGGAAAATGAAGACGCAATTTACGAACAAAAATACGCATATCTTACGCATAGACACATTACTGAAGCAGTGCCGTAGGAAGCTTTTGTTTATGGGCGGGGGAGGGGCAGAAAACGAGGGCCGGAGGCCCGAGGAAATTCTTAAATTTAGGGTCTCTGAAATGCCCTTTCCTGGACTTTGGGGAAGTTTTGACAGAATTTTGATGGTCTGAAAAAGCGTTTTTGCATGTCGAAATGTACAATTTGCTTACAATTTAGTAGTACTAAATGGGAAACGGCGTATTTAATTAACTATACCGGAATATTGGAGAAGTTGCAGGAAAATATGGGTAATATTAACGGCTTATTGACCGAGCGTGGAGTCTGTACTGTGAAATATCAGACCGACGTGTTTTAGTTTTAGGTTTTTAGGGGGGGGGGGTCAACCACCCCTCCAAAACCCACCTCGCTACGGCCCTGTGTGTGAGCTATATTGGTGTGACTCTTTACAGAGACCATTTTACTTTGAAAATACGGACTGTCCTATACTCATCCATGAACGCGCAGGAATTGCAATAGCCTCTTGTGGTGACGGTCATGGTAGCATAAGTGCTATTGTGTTCATTTATTCATGGCAATGCACTCTCCTTACATGAACATTGCACTTGTAACGACTTATATTAAAACCAACGAGGTGTTGTTGGCACATCTGTCCTCTACATGTGCGATCGTCGTTGATTTCGAGGTAATACAGTTATCTATAATTGTAATATCACCTCATTTGGGAAGAGTGCTTTCTCAATGACTGCGCGTAACTTCGTTACCGGTAACTTCACTTCCAGCAGCCATAGTCGAAACCGCAAGGACTGATATGGGATGAGACTAACTAAGCAATGAGTGATTTCGGCAAGTTTTTCATTAATTTAAATAAATTCGCATAAATCTATATACTAATATCTAATTTGAACGTGACTGTGCAATATTATATTCTACGCTGCAAGTTTAAGCAACGACTCAAAGCGAGCCATATGTGTGCAATGAAAATATTGACATTAACATCAAGTGACTAATGTCCGTTATAAAAACTCTGCATACAAAATATCTTCTTTTATTAGTGTTTATCACGGTTAGATGGAAAACACGGAGTCGGAGTTCCGAAGTCGGAGCCCCGGAGTCGCGGAGTCGGAGTCCCGGAGTCTGACGTCAGAGAAAAATATGGAAAACACGGAGTCATATGGAAAACACAGAGTCTGACGTCATAAAAATATGGAAAACACGGAGTCATATGGAAAACACGGAGTCTGACGTCATAAAAGTATGGAAAACACGGAGTCATATGGAAAACACGGAGTCTGACGTCAGAGAAAAATATGGAAAACACGGAGTCATATGGAAAACACGGAGTCTGACGTATTGTCAGCGTGAAATATGGAAAATAGTAATTAAATAATATATCATTTATGCGAATATAAACAAACGGACGAATTTATGGAAATTTTCTGCACTAATTCTGGTATTTCTCTAAAATGTCGTGAAAATATGGATTATTTATTTTTAAATACAATCAAGCAAATAATCTTGTTTCTCTTGTCGTGTGACTTGTTCAGTTGTACAATATTTGAAGTGATTTTAATGCGGATTTTGTTCACCTCGCATGGTATGTTGATAAAAATATAGTTTATATACTTAATACTGCTAGAATATTTCATAGTCGATTTACATGTAATAATTTATAACACACAAAATCTTGACACTAAACAGATATGCTGCTTGGAAACAGCGTTGTTATTTAGGCCACATAAAATAAATATAGAAATTTTGTATTTCATAAAGTATTACAATGCTTTTGAAAGGGATAATTTTAAGTGAAACCCACCTGTTGTGGACTTAAAATAAAATTGTGTACTGATGATGCAGAACCACTGGGATAGGGATATTGCTATAGGAATACTGCTAGGAATACTGCTAAGGATACTGCCAGGGATTGTGGCGCACTAAATTTACTGTTTTCATAGATTTTTGTCCAAGCAATTAAGTTATAAAGAACAGAATAATAGTGTTGACACATTCATGTAGTTCTATAGGCAAATGGTTGATTTGTCAAATATCTAGCTATTATGGATTGTTTTATTATAAACACTGGAATGCTCATACTGGATGGTTGTACAATAAGCAAAATTTGCCTTAGTAAAGTAAGCCAGTATCTAGGCTGGCTTGCATTACATATACACATCCCCTATAATCCTACTATAGTTGGAAAAAATTAAGAAGTAAGAATTAAGAAGGTTGAACTGTTTTTGTAGCCGCATAGATGTTAATTTAAACCATGCAATTAATGCTCAATACAGGGTGTATCAAAAAAAGTAAGACAATTTTGAAATTGCTCTCAATTCCACAATTCTGTTCATGAAATGTAATTTTTTATATGTATGGATACCCAGCCGCCGCCGCCGCCATTACCAGAAATATGGGACAAGATGGCGACGGACATGCGCACTTTGACCAAATATGGCGACCAAATATTACTATAAACTATATGGGAGTTGATCAGAATATCAAATTTTAGTATACTTTGTTTAAATATTTCATTGGTGCGGAGCTCGATTATAGTAGCGACACGAACAAGCAATATTTCTAAACAAAAATCGCTAGTATTGCACCGCGTCTAGCAGGTTCCTGAGAATGTTGTATTTTTACACGCAATTCGATGAATTTCATAGTGTAATTTATAGTAAACTTGTGACACAAGAGGTAAATATCCGACGAATAGACCAACATCCATTCGGACGATGCGAAGTGCGGAGCTCGCGATATATTTAATGATGTCCAAACTGTTAATTTAGCTAAATAAATCCGCTGTAATTGCCAGGGAAACTAGTTCCCGAAACGTGTAAAAGTTCGCCTTTTTACGGTTCTTGTATGTCGCCATTAAGCCATCTTAATATCCAAAAACGACAAGTTTTAATACAAATTTGAGCTGTTTCGAGCAGCCATGTTTCTTGTTTATTTTGAAGGACTAGATCCCAGGCTCTCACGTAAAAACACAGGGATATTTTAGGATTTTTTAGGATATTTGCAATATTTTTAGTCTTGATAAAAATTTGCGGGGTTAAAGGTCAAAGTACCGGAAGTGATCAGCAAAAACTGCAAAATATAGTTTAAAATCACAGTTTTTGGTTGAATAATACTTGAACTGGAGATTCAAAGTAAAATGCGAAGTCGTTTTACTTATATTAGGGAATGTTGGGCATATAAAACGGACTTAGCCGCTGACTACAAAAGCGGGAGCAA